CGGAGTTATATTAATAAACACCCTGACGATTTCGAGCTTTATGATGGCAGTCAGATTAAAGCTCAAAAAAGTGCATCTATCCATCATAAAAGAACTCCACGCGGCTTCGGGGGGTTAGTAAAGGCCTTCTGAAGCAAAGCGATGCATTTGTGTAAGAAAAATATTCATATTTCAAACTTTATAAAGTAAAATAACTAGCTTCTGGCCAATGAACATACGGATTCGACTTAAGTGTAAAGCGCAACTTATGCGAGTAATACGACGTACTGCTGATATTTCCGATACTTCCGGCGTCATAAGTAGCACTTTATACGTATGGCCGTTTGGACAGAATCTAGAATTTTACTTTGTAGCCTGTTAAATATGAATATTTTTCTTACACAAATGCATCGCTTCGCTTCAGAAGGACTTTATTAACCCCCCGGAGCCTTGTGGAGTTATTTTATAATGGATGGATGCACTTTTTTGAGCTTCAATCTGATGGTTGCAATGGTTGCAATCCACTGCCATTATAAAGCTCGAAAGTGTCAGGGTGTTTATTAATATAACTCCGATTGTATTCGTCTGAAAGAAGAAAGTCATATACACCTACAGTAGGATGGCTTGAGGGTGAGTACATCATGGGCTAATTTTCCTTTTAAAGTGAACTACTCCTTTAAGAGATGGTTTCTGAGCTCTGTCTGAGAGCGCACACATGAAGCCACTGCTCATAATGCACATTAGTACTAAGCTGAATTCCTTTTGCCAACCAATTGGGCTTGAATAGTCAAATACACACAATTATGTGTCAAAATGCCAGTCTTTGCTAGTATCCTCGTAAACACAGTCCTTTATGTATTAAATTAATGTAAAACGTTGAGAAAGAATGGGGGGGGGGGTCCACTAAACAAAAACATTATTTATTTACATATACATATATATTACATATAATGATTAATCATTAAAAGATCACAATCTCAATTCAAACATCCATGCAATTTTACTCCTAAATGACAGTGTCTATTAAACCTTTGACAAGTACGATCACAGCAAACATTCAGATCTGTGTTGGCTCGGCCACTGAGTCAGCAGTTGTCATGTATAGATAGGCCTATGAAACAGCTTCACGAACAGTCTTTTCAACCACACAGGATCATTATTTCTGTGTTACAGTATCGGTTACATCATTGCACCAGTAGGTGGTGACATGTGACTGTTAAAAATACATTTGACATTGAATCATTCATTAAAGAAATTCGTTCAAAATCACTGATTCATCCAGTAATGAAAAAGTGAGGTCTCTATGAGTGATTCATTTAATCATTCATTTAAATCGATAAATAAATATAAAATGAAAATAATTCATTAAATATATATGTATATACGCACACACACATCAACTAACATTTTGTCAGAACCTCTAGTAAATTTTCATTTAGTCAGAATCTCTAGTTAATTACATATCTTCTTTTGTTTAGCTGTCTGTTCAGAATCGTGGGAGAATTGTGATCTCTATTTTAAACAATAATTAAATAAATAAAGTGAGGAAGAACTCGGGGAGGATCAACTCATTAATAGGCTACTCTTTAATTTCTGGGGGGAAAATAGAAGCAGCAGCTGAAATTATTTTAGACAATTCTTGTATTAGAATAGAACTACATGATTGGGTAGCAACTTGGTTAAAAAAAACCCAAAGGTAACATCCTCAAAACAAAAAGTTTTATAAAATGAAAAACATCACATTTCAACCCTTTTAACCATTGTTTAAGAAAAGGGATGAGTCAATTATATATGATAGATTATTATCCAAATTATTTTGATTTTTAGAATGCACATTATCTTCCCTTTCCCTTAAAACAGGATTCACCTTTAAATAGTTTAATAACAGTTGATTTTCAAAGCACTAAACTGAGAGGTTGCCATCCAAAACTTTCTACAATTTTCTTAAAGCTGAGGATAAATGTATTTAAAATGTTTGTGTGACCTGTTAAATTCCTCATGCACCACACATGCAGATTCCTACTCGATGTATCTTTAATTTGGCCAAAATCAAACTATCTCCAAGGAGAAATTCAGTTAAATGTGTTTGTTCCACACACAATTCATTATTGTTGTTCAAATGTTGTTCACTAACCTTTCATATTTCATGTGTCTTGATACTTAAGAAAACGTTGTTTGGAGGAAACATGAAATATGTTTAATGTTATTATAGATTCTAGAAGATTTTATATTTAAATACACCTGAAAAGACATTGAAATTATATATATATTCAGGGACGTGCACAGGAATTTTGTGGGGCAGTTGCTCTGACCTGAAAAAAGGGCACTACCCCCAAAACTCACGGGCTATATGAAGGAATATATTCAGTTGAATTTTGCCCATACAAATTGCCTTATCTGATCGTGTTTATGTCCAAACGCAATGCCTCATATTATGGTCTTATTATTATTTATAAAGATTGCAAACGTCAAAGATGACAGGTTTATGATATACAACTTTGTAAACAGTATACAAAATGTATTAACAATATGTTAAATGTCACCAAAATACACATGAGAAAAAGAGTTGCTCATATTATTGTTTATTGTTTTTTAATTATTATTATGATTTTTTTTATTTTTTTATTTTTTATATAAATAATCTGGATTGAATTGACAGATGGGGAAAAACTCACTTCTAATAAAACAAAAACAAAAAAACGCTTAGATTTCGGAAAAAATACAATCCTTTTTTAACCTTTTGGCTTCCCGTACATTCAATTGTGCTTTTTGCTCATCTGGGCAACTACGCATGATTTGTAATATGATTGCGTAAAGGGAACAGGAATTCCGGTAAGGAACAGAATCGACTGCTACACCCAGTGCCGATCCTGACCTCCCTGGGGCCCTAAGCAAAATTCTGCTAAGGGGCCCTCTACCTGACCTGTGATGTCGTGAGCTATGTAAACCATTTGCCATTGCCACAGTCACACCTGACACTTCAGCGCTCCCATACAATCCTCCCTCCTTTAAACAAAACAGTCAAAGAATAAGTACAACAATATAGAACAGAATGAGGTTCAAACACACAATATTTATTGAATAGAGTATTTTCTATAGAATGTTAAGATAATAAATGAATATTATTAAGTAAGTGAATATTAACGTAAACATAAATAAGAAGAAAATAATAAATTATAACCCTGAGCTTTGGCTTTTGGGATTAACTTTGGTTCTTTCTACAGCCTGGGCATTTTCGGCATCAGTATGATTTTTTAATTTTTTATTATGCATGTTATTGTATTTATGGTTATTATTTACTGAGGGATGTGCATCCATATTGACCATGTCCAGCTAATCAACATTTTAAATTCAATATAGGCTATAAATCAATAGTCAATCAATGTCAAATTGTCAATAAATTGCTTTCTATCTTGCATAATTAGTGCAGTTGTTTAGAGTTTTTAAATACACTGAGACTAGATAATCAGTGTCTTGTTTTAAAAGTATAATGTGTACTTTGATTGGGAGTGCCATCATTCACGTGCATGTATTGTACAGTATGTCTGGTCTCCACATATTTCTGCTTGAAAAATGCGAGTTTCATTTCGTGCACGCGCATTTGAACGCACGATAACACACGCGACGCGGTTATGTTTTCCGAGCTGCAGTAAACAAACACCGTTGCACTTTGTCGTTTATCAAAATCAAACGTAATAAATAATTGTATTTTACTCTCACTTTTGTCAGCCACAAAGTGATTCAAGAGATGCACTGCCTGCCCAGCTAGGTTAGCAAGACCGAAAAACATCAAACTTTGCTGACATCAAACTTAGAGAGGAGAGAACACAAGTTTACCTGATTGTTGTTCCCGCAATTCACTCTCATGGTTTTTTTCTTCTTCCTCTTTTCGTGAAGTTTCGCTTCATTTTGTCGTGGATGTTGTAGCTACACATTTGACGGCGCGCTATGACTATGACACGAGATGGAGGCGTGGCCTTAAGTAATTTGCGTGGCCCTACGCCGGTCGCGTGCAGTCTATGGTCGCGTGCAGCGTTTGCCCTTCATACTGACTTTCACTTTCGGTGCCCGAATGGAAGTGAATGAGGCTTTGCGATTTTTTTTTTAATCTAGGCCTATGTGAAATTCTGCATCCATTGTACGATTTAATTTTTTTCTCGGAAGGGCAACTTGAGTGAGAAGGGCAACTTGAGTGAGAAGGGCATATGGGCAGTTGCCCGGGCAACCTGAGCAACAAAATTCCCAACTAGAGTCCGCAGTGAATCTCAGCCATTTCCAGCCCTGCCTGTATTAGCATTAGTAGTATTGGACTAGGAAATTTCAATGCTGTCAAAAAAATAACTATAAAATTACTCATATCGGGATATAAGTTTGTGTCATTTCGCCCACACCTACTAAAAGTAATCAAAAAAGTAGCCTGATATATTACCTTAAATGTGTAATGTAATGGATTACATTATTAACTACAATTTTTGTCATGTAATTTGGAATCAGTAACCAACTACAATTTGTAAGTAATGACAGCGACAGCGACTTTTCGAGCAGGCTTTAGCTACTTTCCATTTAAAACAGTTGGCAACACTGTCTTGGTGTGAATGTCCTTTTGCAGGAGTCAAAGCAGCAGATTTAGCTAAATTTAAATGATATTTATTAGTACAGAGCATATTTAAACAAATTAAAGGGCTATGCATTTTGTGATAAATAAGTGAATGCATGTAGGTTACCCAAATTTCTATGGTAATGGATTATAATGATGTTCATTCATAAGTCATTATGATATTATACTACTGTAGGCTTCATTTCACACATTTGTTCATGTACCTTCAAATATGTCTTGTAATAAAAACTTAAAACACATCTTCTACTTGAATAATTTCAAAATGTAAAATAACTTGAGGAATTACCAAATACTAAGAACCAATGCAATCATTCCTGTTACAAAAGTAAGTAAAATAACAATTTTAGCTATATCATTTGCCACTTAAACTTGTTATAGACAAGAGGAAAAACTACATACAGACCTTAGGAAGTTGCGCCAAGGAAACACCTTCAGAAGACTCACGCTCCATCCGGTCATAATTTTCCGCAAAACTGCGGAAGCGTCTCAGCATTCCACTTGTGGTCGCCTGTCCACAGTCAAATGGAATTGTGATTTATTAGTATCTAAAAGTTGCAGCGCGCAAGAGACAGACAGCTCCGCATCCCACAAGCCCATTGTAGACAGCTCATGAGAGACCGTTTGTCTCACTCAAGCCTCACACTCATCTCTGAGTCTAGCTTGTTTTGCATACCCACTGTTGAGAGAGGAAGTATAAAGAGGGGGGAGGCCAGAGAAATAGTTCCTCTGGCTATAATTGCCTTGGATCAAGGGTTTAAACTCCAAGACTGACTGCTGTGGTGTTCCAGCAAAATAATTGTTGTAAATGATCACTCTACAGTGATCTTGTAGAACATTGCAGGCGGGTAATAGAGTATGTACTGCTTTTGATCAAGAACTTACTTCGTTAAAAAAGTGCATTCTATATAAAGTATGCATTTGTGTTTTATAAAGACAATTTGGAAATACTTCAATAAATCTGCCATTTACTCATTGTCATGTGACGTAGCCTAGTACTTCACCTATAGTGTCTTTTGTTAATCAGATGTGCCCTTTTTTAATGTTTCAAACTGGGAATAAAGTGAGCAAAGAACATTCCCCATCTCTGAAGCAGTCAATTAACCCCTTACTTATACAACATTTTACTTGCATCACAATGTTTGTAATATTTTTTCTTTAAATGTGCAATTTTTTTTGCCCACATTAATTTCCGACTCTGCAGAGAACTGAATTTTTTAGAGGACTGTGTTCTGTTTACTTGACTACATATGATAATTGTACTTTTCAGCCATTCTATAATATTATTAACTATGAGTAACTTTCTTAAGGCCCTGTATAAACCCTAACTCCAACAGTAAATTGTTGTTCATCATGAATCCAGAAAGACAGAGACAAAATATCTTTCTGGTTTTAATTTGTTCCGCTTATCACAGCTCTACAGAAGAAAGGCAGTTGTCTAGAGGGAGTGCCCAACCATTGCTTTTGCTATAGATATGCCATGACAGAGCAATGTTTGTTCAGTGAGCAGAAAACTACTGGTGGACTTCCATGGACATGCGTGTCTTTTATAAGCCTCTGTGGGCTGGATGAGCAGCTGACCTATTCAAAGGTCCGTTGGCTTCCATCCTCCAAAGGCCATGCCTCTCTGCCCACTTCCAGCACAGAACATATCACAGATATAGCCGCACCTATCACCCTGTATCCCAAGACTCGTTTCCGACTGCTAAGCAGGGTTCAGCCTGGTTAGCACCTGGATGGGAGACCTCCTGGGAAAACCGAGGTGTTAGTGAGGCCAGCAGGGGGTGCTCACCCTGTGGTCTGTATGGGTCCTAATGCCCCAGTGTAGTGATGGGGACACTACACAGTCAAAAAGCACCATCCTTCGGATGAGATGTTAAACCGAGGTCCTGACTCTCTGTTATTAAAAATCCCAGGATATCCTTCAAAAAAAGTAGGCATCCTGACTAAATTTGCCCTTTGGCCTCTGTCCATCATCATGGCATTATAGTCATTCCCATATATATACTGATTGGCTTCATCACTCTGTCTCCTCTCCACCAGTAAGCTGGTGTGTGGTGGGCGTTCTGGTGCAATATGGCTGCCGTCGCATCATCCAGGTAGATGCTGCACAATAGTGGTGGTTAAGGAGATTTCCCCCTTACCATATGTAAAGCGCTTTGAATACCCAGAAAACTACCAAAACATTTCATACATATCTTAAATAAACTAATTCTTCCATAACAATAGAAGGTTGTCACCCAAAAGACACACTGTAAACTCATAAAACTAATAAAACAATGACCTAAAAACACTAACAACAGGCGCTACACAATGACAATTTCACTTCAATTTATGTTACATCAGAATGTTTACATTACAGTACAAAATTATTCCTACGGTTTCTCCAACTGTGTAAGTGTTCAGCTACAGCTAATTGTTTTGATAATATAAAAAAAAAAAAATTTGGAATATATTTCAATATGGTATTACTGCAGAAATGTAGCAAACTTCTGTCTGATTTAGTTTTGTATTATGTTGTATTAGGTTATGAAATGAGTATGTAAATATGCAAATTGCCCTGTAGGTACATAGAATTTTGGTCTTAGTGAGAAAAGAATTTATGTAATTTGAAAGTAGTCATTGAATGCATTTTGCTTTTGCTTTTTTAAGCAGTTGAATAATGTCAAAAAAAATTACCCAGAATCTAGATATAGCATTGTTAGGATGATGCAGTTGGAGTGGCTGCTGAAGTGAGCAGCTAGTTTTTGCTCTTTGTAATGTCAACTTTAGTTTCTCCAAATATCTTAAGTTGATGGGGGTAGTCTTGGGTCACAGATGTCTGGGTTTATGTAATAGATCAAGTTCAGCCATGTGACTGAGAAGTGCCCTCAGAGAAACACTGACAGAAGACCCCAATCTACACAAGCATGTAACTCCAAAGTCCTTCCAAAGAACCACTCCATATACTGTCTCTCTCTCAGTCACAGACAAATACACACATACACACACAGACACATTGGGTTGACCCATCAGCTAGTGTGGCGGCTAACCTATAGGCAGTTTTTGTTGTGGCAGTCTCATTTGGTTACATCTTCTCATTGAGCCTGGCTTCGACTGCCTTTGGGCCAATGGCCCTTACACAGAGTTTGATGAAAACATGAATCCACTGAGGTGACTTAGAACAACTGCCCAAAGGTTCATGCCAACATTGCCAAAGAAACTTCCCTTAAAATATGAAGCCTCTTGTTCGGCTAGCGCTGTAATCAAGTGCAGAAGGACCTCACTAGAACATCACACAAACTACATATCTACGGCTGCAGCCAACTCAGCATGCTATGAAGTTGCTATACAGTGTAGCAAATGCATTCTCATATCAAAAATCGGTGGGCTCACACTTTAAACTTGTTGTTTGAGCACAAAACTGCAAGAAAACAAACTAAAAAATTTCCCTAAAACTCTTTTGCTATACACTGAATTGCAAAAGAACATTGATAAATCCTGTGCCCTGCTGTAAAGGCAGAGGAGGTCTTAAAAATCTGTTAACATTCCCTTTAATCTTACCTGCATTTCCACACAGGACCTCCGAAAGTACAGTATGTGATTTAAAAATCTGCAATTTTTTAACTGTGACATTTTCTCCAAATGTCTAATGTCTAAGCAGGCTGACGGCTCTTCTTGATTCCCCCGTTTCCCCGTTGGGTTATTTGGCTACGTGGTAGACAGCTTCGCGGAACGCTACATTGAGGCCCAGTGCCTGGTTGCATAAAGCACCTTAAGTGTAATTTTATGTTACTTAACGGTTTCTTTAGGTGAAACGTCATACACCCTAAGATTTTTCCTTACATATCTATTTTTCCCTTAATCAATCTCTTAAAAAATGATGTGTTGCATAAAGCCCCTTAACTGTCATTTTCCTAAGCATAACCTAAGGTTTGGAAAACTTCCCCTTAACCTGTTAAGCTGCAAGCCCACTTTTGAAAAATCCCCAGAAATGGCATTCCCAAACTGAAACAGATACAGTTCATGAACCCTTTGGACTAAAAGCACAAGTATGATCTCATTTGAAAGCTTACACCTGGTAGTTTATTGTAAATGTACATTTACATTTACATTACATTTACATTTATTCATTTAGCTGACGCTTTTATCCAAAGCGACTTACAATTGCTATATACGTCAGAGGTCGCACGCCTCTGGAGCAACTAGGGGTTAAGTGTCTTGCTCAGGGACACATTGGTGTCTCGCAGTGGATTCGAACCCGGGCCTCTCACACCAAAGGCATGTGTCCCATCACCACCCATTATGACAATAATTAATGTAGAATTAATTATTGTCATAATGAATTTTTTTTAAAAAATAGCTTCAAAGTTTTGTAAAGTTATTAGAAATTTATTTTTATGAAACATCTTCATGAAAATAAAATTGAAGTTGACCCTGGAGCAATCTAGAAAGCCATATGAAGCTAAAGCCATATGTGTGACCACTTTATTTCAAATCTGAAAATGATAAGTCTAAAACTCTGTATTTAGTTAAATGTTTTTCAAGATCATGTCAAATTACTTTATTTTGATTAGACTGATTTAGTATCTTCAATGCAAACTGATGTTTAGTCATCTATTCAGTCTATTGCCTCTATTGTTTTTGTGGTGCAAAACGAGCCCCATTCAGTCTCAGTCTCCCCTGCACACATTTACACCTCTCCAGACTGGTTATGGTTCTAAATATGCATTTCTTTTGTCTGCATTATAGCTACTAACGACTGGCTATTCACAGGCTATTCATAGGGTTTCAAACCCTAATTTATTTTATCAAAGTTCTCACTAAATATTTGAAACTGGTATCAAATGCACTGAAACAATTCAGTAAGCATTCCTATTTAGAAAAAAATCATAAAACAATAACTGCTGGTATAGCAGGTGCACCTGGGCTAGCTAGCATGTTAGCTTAGCACACCATCAATACACGACCATTTATGAGATTAAAACCATGTCTGTTCTCCAAACTTACTTTATAACGCAAGTCGAGTGTTTTAAATAATCTTCTGTGATCTGATTTGGCTTCAGATAAAAAAAAATCCGACCGAAAATGTATTTATAGTGTTCTGCACGATGATGAAATCTATATCGATTAGCATAACATTATAAATATAATCTATTATTATGAAATGGCATGGCTTGAAGAACACAGGTAACTCAAATATCATTGCAATCATGTTTATTGTCTTCAAAACATCTTTATCTGCACTTTACAGCGATCTCTGGAAGCTTTGTTGTGGCAAGCAAAGATATCATAATTATAGAGATTTTTTATTTTTTATTATTATTATTATTATTTTTTTTTTTTTTATTGAATTTTAATGATAACAAAACAGTTTACACACAAGAGTACATATAACCATACATGTCAGGGGTAGAGAAGAAATGAAAAGAAAAAAATAAAGAAAGTAAATAAATTAAAAATAATAATAAATAGGCTACTGAAAGACTTTTTACAAAAAAAGCTTGTACTTGTCAAACAGCTGTTTAGTTTTCATAGCTTTCAGGTTTTTACTTTTGGAAATAGTTTCTAAATATATCTTAACATCAATTTTAAAATGTTCAAAATTTGGTATTTTTCCATTCCATTTGACCTTATGAATGTAGTAACGGGAAATTATAACAATTA